ATGCGGTACTTTATAACCTATAGCTTATAGGTAGGTACTACCGGTGGAATGAGTCCTGCGCGGGGCCACGGCCCACGCACCCCCGGCAGGCCGCCCGGCCGCCTCGACGTCGGAAGTGGGACCGCACGTACCGGTGATTATATAGGTATTGAAATTTGAGTGATTGATCTAATTTTAGTCGGTTCGGGGCGGGCCACGAGTGACAACAGGCCGGCCGCCCCGAACGAATTTATATTTGTGCACAGTGCACACTAGGTAGGTATGATACCCGCGTTACCGCGTACCGTATTTGTTCTCTCGCAGGTTTCCTGGATTCATGCAAGCGGGGCGGAGTACGGTCAATCAAGTCGGCGGTCGAGGGGCGGCGGGCCCGGGCATTGGCATGCAGCGCCTGGTTGCGGACTCGGCGGGAGTCGGAGGCCGCCCGGCAGCCAAATACCGGTACTACCGGCCCGGGGTCCCCCATAGCCGCGGCCCGCAGATGCAGATCATTCGCCATGTCATGCAGGCGATGTCAGCGAACGAGCTTGTATATTATTAGTGTTGACAGGAGCTCATTTCCGCAGCCATAAATATACATTGAGACCTTCAACTACCTACTTTGGTTGCCCATTCAATCAGCTCCTCGCATCGCACTCCATGTGCAGCAGCTCAGAAAGTTGTCGATGAGAGCCGAATAGCAAATGAGGCTTCTCGTTTGTGCTGTCACAGTATTGTTGCGCTCCATCGATTGAGCATCTCGGTCGGTTTGCAGGGGCGCGGCCAGGCTACAATCCAACAATCGTTCACCATCAATCGGCTCGCGCCGCGACGCAATTCAAACTTAGCACGTACTTTGCCATGTGCGAGGCCTCCATAACAATATCCGATATTTTGTCAGTGAGGGAGGCATAGTAGCGAGGAGTGACAGTAAAGATGTTGTGCGGCACTAGAGTGACCTAGTCCGACTTTACTTTGCTCAGACTGCTGCATGCATGATGGGGGCGTGGGCCCGGGGCAGCCGCCAGCCATTTCTTGCCGGGCGTTGTTAAAATGGTTAAGACTTTCCGTAATTTGAAACTCGAATGGTCGGCAACGAAAACCGTCAAGGCATGCGTGACAATTCGCTTTTCACTTGACTCGGCATCACTTTTTGGTTGCTAAAACCAAGGCCAACACGCGAATCTTCGAGGATGGTCAGATTTTGCGGACTGACAGTTCCTGGATTGATTGTGAAAATATAGCACATACAAAGCCGGCCCGGCTGTGGCCGCATATATGCAGGCTGCCGCCAACAACTTAGCTATGCGAGTGACCTCAAGTATCCTAAAACTACACTTCGTATTCTCAAGCCTATTACGCCGTCCTCTAAACTTACTCCTCTCCAAAGACAGTGCAAGCAACACAAGCATACCTGCCATGGTTCCGCAAGCAGCAAGTCCCCTAGACCTAGCCATCATCGTCTCATGTTATAGCAATCACTGCCTTTGCATGCGACCTGCAAGCACTACCTCAAACTATGCTTCCCTGTGTCTAAGCTCCTCAGATATGGCAACCTAAAGTTTGACTCTTAAGTTTGACGCTTAAATACGTAGACACTTCCGTCTAAGACCTACTACTCGCATCAACGCCTAGGATCTGAAGTCCTCGATACGGGACCTATTGTTACCCATACTTCCCCACAAAAGTATTGCCGCCTCGTCATGCAAAATGCGGCAGGCTCTTACATAAGACAGCTACTACACGGCACTGCAACTTCTCACAACTTCTTCAACCCACCATCTTGAGTCAGAAGGGGCCTTCAACTCGCAACCGCAGGTGCCCTTCTTCTAAGGATTGGTGAACGACGTGCCGTTGGCAGTCCCGTTGGCAGTCCCGTTGGCAGTCCCGCCGGTGGTGCCGGTAAGTGTCCCATTGCTGGCGGTGCCGTCGGCTGGCGGGGCCCCCAGCAGTGCTCCATAGCGGTTGAGCAGGTCCAGGGCGACCCCGTTGCTCCAACCAAAGCCGACCTGAACACAAGGAGCCGCAGGGCCACATGAAAGAGAAACCTCGCAACAAGGCTGCTCCGTATGAACGACCACCGTGCAACCCGGACCAGTCCGCTCACTCAGGCATGTAGAGGAACAAGGATTGCATGCCACAGAACCGACCTTTTGCTGCTCGATCAAGTTTCTAGTAGGGGACGCACTCCGGGCTGCATCGGAGTTGTCGGAGCCGGCCACGCCTGTTCAACTACCCTCGGCCTTATAGTCGCAGTCAGCCCCCGCTTCCGGGGCATGACAAGGCCACCTCACGGGTCTGCGCGTCAAAAGCGTGCAGGGTGAGCTCACCTGCGGCCTGTATTCGCCGCCCCCCCCGGGCGTGCCCGGCTGCGCGGCGTCCAGCTTCTCGCTCATGAGCCCGCCTGTGGCGTAGAAGGTGCGGAATGCGTTGCGCAGGTAGCGCTGCGCCAGGTCGGCCGCGAGGGCCGCTGCCGCGCCGTCACCTCCGGCCGTCGCGAGGCCCTCGATGATCATGTGGTTCAGCGGCGGCCACGCGTTCGGGTAGTCCCTGCGACAGAAGGGGGGTCAGGCGCGGCCACCCAGGAAAGCATGCTCTTTGACCAACGGGCATGGCATGGGAAGAGCGGGCCTGGGGCCACGGGAACGCGGGATGCTACGATCGACATGCCGGAGACGACGGCACAGACGAGACCATCAGAACGTTTGCGCTCTTGCCAACCGCCACGGAAGAAGGGCGAGGGCAGCCTGCGCGGTGCGTGGTTGCGGCTGCCCGCCGTACTCACCACTGCTCGCCCGTGTTGTTGAGGGAGGTGGTGATGCCGCCCGGCAGGATCAGGCCCGAGCCGTTGAGGGACGCCACCAACTGCGCCAGCCGCGCGTCACCTGCGCATGCCGTCACCCGCTCGGTTCAGCGGCAGGAAACATAAGGACTACATCGGCGTCTTTTCTGCCATAGCCAGCACAGAGCGGGAGGGGTGCATTGCAATCTGCTTCTGCCGACAAGCCTGGCCACTCTACACTCAAGCAATTAATTTGGTCAGGACCTTCAGCCGGAACAGAGTTCAACTCTCGGAGCGCTGGCTCGAACGTTTGAACCAGCGTTTCGAGCATCGGGGCACACCTGCCGGCAAGGCGCCCGCCCAGAGCGGGACGTAGTCGGCGGCGTACACGGAGCCATTGCGCTGCGCGCCCGTGTAGACAGCCGGGCAGGAGGACCCGTTGGCGGCAGACGCGTTGGCGTCGAGCACGAAGTCGGTCCAGCAACCCCGGGTAGGGCTCCACAAAACAGCGTCGATGGCGGCCTGACGCACGGCGGCGAAATCCGTGAACTGCGCAGCAAGGGAGGAGTTGCCGGTGACGTTGGCAAAGACGGCGATGTTGCGCTCCATGAGCAGCAGGAACGCGTTCAGGTCCGCGGGGATGATACTCGTGGTGCGGATCGTGCGCAGCGTTTGGCCGTCGCTGCAGGGGGAGCGGGTACGGGGTGAGACAGGGTGGCACAGGGCCGGGCCAGATGGGGTGAAGGGTGATACAAGCGTTTGCAGATTAAAGGCGAAACTCCTTTAACAGACCGCAATCCTGAGATCTGCAGCATACGAGGTGGCAAAGGGAACGCCAGAAAGACGAAACCAATAAGAAGGGAAGAAAAGTCAGTACTTCAGCTGCCTGCTGACCGAAACTGCTGTTACTTCGTAGATGAACAGGATAGAACGTGATGAGTACTGTGCTTACGCAAACCAGCGGGATGAGAAGTCCTGCCCTGACTCCGCCCCTGACGCCAGCTCGCGGTATAGCTGGCTGGCAGCCACGGGGTCCAGGCCCGCACTCGTGTTGCTGTCCTGCAACGACGAACAAGACGAGGCTACTCAAAGGCCCTCGACATGGACAACACAGCCAAGCTCATCGAGAATGTCTCCAAGGGTAGGTTCTCCCCCTGTCTGGTGAGTTGTCATCTTCAAGGTGGATTATGCGGACATTCGAAACTACAATCCTGTTCGACAATCACCATGACTGTCCAGACCCCATTTTAAAGGAACAACGCCCTCACCTGTGCGAAGGACTCTGGGCGCGGGCGATCCCACTCGGCATAGTAGCGGGAGAGGTTGTAGAGCTGCCCGCTGGGCGCCACCACCGTCACCTGCTTGGGGGCTGCACGCACCAGCCAAGGAAGCAAGGCAGTCAGGGCCAAAAGGGGCGCCAAAAGTTGCCTGCCCCAGACATCAGATTCCAGCCAGCATGACAGGACTGCGCTTTGATTCGGATTGATGACAAAAGGCCAACGGCAGCGGCTATGCATGGTACCTGTTGTCCAGTAGGTGTGCTCCTGCACCAGCAGGGGGACTGCATACTGGAGCAGGGACGTGTTCTGGGTCGCTTCGTACACGGACCGCACCCTGCACCAGCCAATCAGGGCCAGACTCAGGGGTTGCAGGGGCAAGTCTGTACATGCAGGAGGGAAGGAGCACTGACAACCATGATCAAGTGCATGCCCCCACACACTGTAGTAATTGCAATTGACAATTCGTTCAGGGAAGTGCGTGCTGTGCATGGATGGACCAAATCCTGTTGTAAGGGCGGCAGTGCCCACATTTGACTGAGGAGGGGTGGCTGGGAGCGGTTGATGTAGTAGGAGCGCGCGCCATTGGGGACATGGCCGTAGCGCTGCAGCAGGGCCAGCAGGTTGGCCATCTCGCTGCTGGCGGTGACGTTCATGTTGCTGATCAGCAGGCCCCTGCACAGGCAGGGCAGCAGAGGGGCCTCACTTCATGCAGGTCAAAACGAAATCCAGAGGCACAGCAGAGGCACCAAAGGAGGTCCAAGGTGACAAGGAAGCCTGACAAAGGCGGCCAGCTTCCTCGGAGGTGACGTGACTGTCCTTATGTCTGTCTAAAAGCGGGGCTCAACCGAGCAGGCGCAGGTAGACACCTATTGGTTCAACAATTTTAACGTCTCCAATTGACCTTAAGACACACGGCATAAAGAAAAGGCACAAGTATCGGGTCAAGGCATGCCCCTGCCCTGGCCCCCACCTGATGATCCAGTAGGAGTCCCAGTAGTACTGCTCCCGGAAGCGGTCCCCCGCAATCACAAACGGCTGCGGCAGTGCCAGCAGAGAGTGCTGCTCCGGCTGCTGGGAGACATTGGCGGCCTCCGTGCGTGTCAGCTGCGGCCAAATCTGGTGCACTGCCAGCGACCAGTTGCGCCAGCTGCCATTCGCAGCATCGGAGGCAAGGGTGGGCAGGAAGCCAGACGGAACAGGGGTGAAGTCAGGGGGGGAGTACGCAACGAGGTCGCTCCCGGGCTGGTCGAAGTACTGGCTGATGAAGGCCTGGAGTTGACCTGGCAAGGGGGAGAGCTAGATTGAAATGGAGAATTGGATGCTGGAAGTGCACAATCTACGCTGAGGCCACAGCCTCTTGCACTTGACAGCCCAAGTGTGACCAGCTTGAGGTTGGTGAGACATGCCGTATGAACCGGTAAGAGAGATTGGACAACATTACCTGCTTGGTGTGATAACATTTGCAGCTCACAATACCAATCAACCAGTGACAGAAGCATCGGAGATTCCTAAAACGTACACACACCTGGTAGAGGGTGGTAATATGTTTTTCGCTGATGAAGAACTGAGAACAAGGGCCAGGTTTTAGAGTAACCTAGCGAGCTGGCAGTCTAGGAGTCTAGGAGTCCAGCTGGCTTTTGGCAACCATTTGTCCAGCCTAGCTTGAAGTTCTCTTGGACGCATGCATACACGTTTCTGCTTCACTCCACACACCCTCACCACTACTGCATCTCTTGAGTTTCTTTTCCTGGTCAACTTTTGGACAGCTATGTACCTCGCTAAGCTAGCCCACGAGCTAGCCCCGAGGCATGGTCTATTGCAACAACTAAAGCGCCTGTCCAATGATCCCCAACCCTCCTACAATATGTACAGGTCAATTCGCATCCTCTGAAATGCTCGGAGAAAATTCATGCGGCTGCTTTCGTTGTTATCTTGGGCGTCTTCTCCTTTCTGCATAGGACCAGTGCTTGCGTTCAAAGAAGACCTTGAGTAAAAGAAGCAACAACCAAAGGAAAGGTCACGTTGCCAATCTGTCGAAGTTACTCGAACTCTTCAAACATCCAAAAGGAGAAATAAGTACCCAGCCCCCCCATAGAAGAGAACTTGTGCTGGACAGGGGCCCTCTGACGAGGTCTGCAAAACGTTCCCAGTGCTTTCTGAAGTGAACCGACGCTGATTGCGACACCAAGAATGCTTCCAGCAACATACTGGAATTAACCAGATTGGGGGGCGTATTCGTGAACGTCACGATAGCCCTAGAGTCTGGAAGCATGGCCAGAGTACATTCTGTATGCCTCCCGTTTCAGCAACATGGTACCTCACTTAAGGCTCGGCAAAAAGACGTCCCCCAGCAACTACTAACAAACACCCGCAGGATCAACGTACGACAGCTCCTACGCATGACGACGATGACACGGATCACAGATGCAAACTGCAATACAGACGGTCGTGACATTCGCACCTGCAGATGCGTTGCCGCCATTCTGGGCTTGCAGCTGCTGGAAAGCGGCAATTGTCGCATCAGATGCGTTCTTCAGCGGCAGGTCCACGATGCTCTTGGGGTCCGCATAGATGTTGGCCGCATTGGCTGCCTGCAAAAAGCCGCCCTGCCCGCAGAAGATGTCACTGCACGGCAGCGACACATTGCACGCTGGTGAGGTGGCCCCGCTCACGGTCGGGCACAGCAGGAGGAAGCAAAGGGACAAGGAGCATAACAAGAGCGACGGCGGCGCCATGGGGGCCGACTGCAAACAAAGGCAACTTTGACAACGGCCCAAAAAGTTCAGGCTCCAGCTGACTGATACACTGATAGGGTAGTCTTACTTGGTGCACAGAAACGTAACGGTATCCCGACTTTCTCGAGCCACTGCCCGCACTGGCTTCCTCACAAGCTCCCCGGCCTCTGCCGCAGGGGTGACCATGCGGCCATCGGATGCGCCCATGTGGGCCGCAGCGAGCTGCACTGACGATGGATCATCACCTCCGGCGCGCCATTCAGGCTCTCCTCCAAGCTGTGTACTCCTGAGTCCTCTTGCTAGGTCCTACCTGGCATAATTGCGGCCGGATAGGTATGCCAAGTGTACCTTTGTGGGGGCACGCATTGTGGTCAGCATGTCGTCAGCGGATAAGGCTGTCATCCATGCAAACAATAAATGTAAATGTAATAACGCGCTCGGCGCGCGGAGCTCAGCATAAGGAGCCGACACAGTTTAGGAATAGTAAGCTTTAGGAATAGTAAGCTCACCAGCCTGGGACGGGTAGGGTTAGTTTGGGGGTTAGGGTGGGTACGGCTGCGGAGCGGGTTGTTTTCATAGGTTAGATTTTTAGTGTTTGGTTTGAGCTTACATACTATTCCTACGGCTTACTATTCCTAAACTGTGCCGTCATCATAAGGAGCCAGGCTGTCGATCACAGTTCGATCAGCCAGTCGCGGCCGCCTGCCAAATGTGTGCAGCGCGGCCGCGCGGGTCCGCACTGAGGGCGCCGGGCCGCCGGACCGCACTGCATCCCCACTGCATCATTTCTGCATTGAGGCTGCATTGCCTCCTTGTACTCTCACACTTACTCACCCCAATCTCAGTACACACGCACGTTGGCACGTCTTGCAGCCTAAAAGTTCGGACGGCTTTGACTCAGATATATTATGCACTGCAGCGTGACAGCGTGGGTGCAGTGTTCCGAGTACTACGTCCATAAGTTGAACTCGAGCGTCCCTCGAGCATGGAAATCTTCTCCGGCATGCACCCTGGGGCATTGCACTGGCATTCAAGTTCGACTCTGATTCAGCTTGAGTCTTTCTGGGAGATCTCGATCTGGCAATGCGTCTGCTCTTCTGAGGCTGGTGTGTTAAGTACTAGAACTACCGAAGTGATCTCAGTTTGCCGGCCCTCAGGGAATGACAACCCACTTACCCCCTGCTTAGTGGCCCTGTCACCTGCACTAGTACGTGCTGGTCGGCGGCTTGCACGCCGCCATGCCCTGATCCGCTCCCCCGGGACGTTAAACGGCGGCTGCAAGCACTGCTCAATATCGTGACATCCCGTGACTTGACGGGGTGCGCCACAACTTGAAGTATGGCCCTCCTCGCTTCGTCCTTCCACACGTGTACATGTGTACTTCGCTAGTGTGGATCCCATCGAAGTGCTCCTGATGCTCCTACTCCTTGAACACTCAAGGACTCCAAAGCTTCAATCGTGCTCCAATCATCCAATCAGCCTTTTCTACTTTCAGGTCAAGATTACTTGGATAATTGATCCAATGCCAGCTAGTTATCTAATTACGTTCGAAGTGCCGGACATTGTCATAAGGGCAGCACTCAGACACGCCAGCACGGGCGTCCCTTCGGGGTGGGGGGCCGCAACGGGGGGCCCCCGGTTCCGGTCCCAGCACAGTGCTGCTGACTTCGCCAAGACTTCGCCCCAAAGTCGGTTGCAGCGGCACGCTGGCCCCGCTGGTGGAGAGGGGTGGGGTGGCCCCGGTCCACTGTGGGGCCACTATGCTGACGCGGGTGGTCGACCTGCTATGCGGCGGGGATGCCTCGTCGGCGTGTCGGCATGCCTGGGCCAGATCACAGAGTACGCCTTCCTGCGCGTTACCTCTACAGCTTCTTCCTTGTTTGCCTCGAGAAAGTGACTCTCAGTCCACAAGTACTATTCTGGCAGGAGCCCTACCGCCGCTCCAGCTTACATGTTGCCATCTGACCGTTGGTCCGCGTCCACAATGCGCAAAACGCAGTCCAGCGGGATGCAGGCCCCCGGGCAAAGCCCTTCCTCCACCGCCCTTGAGTAAATCCAACACAGTGCAGAAGGGTCTTTTCTCGGTCACATATTCGGACTGCACAAAGCGGTCGTCGTTCCACAACAAGTTTACAAGTTCAACTGGCGGCGCTCCACCAGATCGAAGTAACAACTTCCAAGGGCAGAATCAAGCTCCGACTTTCAGATCGTTTCGCACTGGTTTATACGCTTCCCTGCAACGATGCAACGGCACTTGTCCCGATTCACCGTCATTTCAAACGGCGCTATGATATAACCGCCTGGCCGTGATCCGCAGGCGGTGGAAGACACTGGCGGTACACTGGCTTTCACGAGCACAACGTCGGTGCGTCATTCGTTCACAGCTACCGTTGCCACAAGCCTCGAACAGTGATCACCCCAGAATTCAATCAACCGTCCCAGTAAGGCTGCGTGATATCCTTCCTCGCATTTTCTCTGAGAAGCGAAGCGACCAGGAAGCGACCCGTGACTGCTAGAGTCTCCGAAGTCCCCACAATGGAGCGCTTCGCTTCGAAATATTCCGAGAGCCCTGGCAGCCAAACCTGTGCGAGTGTGCGCGTCAATCAGCAGCGCCCCCCATGTGCCCAGCGTGCTGGTGAACTGAGCGGACATTTCGGGCGGGCGTGCACGCCGGGGTGCACGCACGAGGACGTCCGCCGTTTTGTTGCAACAACATCCTCCTAAACGCTGCATATCGGGCTATGGGTTCGATCGGTTGGCATTCTTCTCGGAATAGTCTGATAGTCACGAACTCCAGTTGACGCGTAGCCCCGATGGTGAGCCTCGCTCACCTAGCTCAGCTTGAGCATAGCGCATGATCGGCGGGGAGCACCAGCGTCAGATCCGTGGCGTGCATTCATATGGCGACGGTTCCGTTGAATTGGCTCCCGGCTTTGCGACAGCCGTCGCGTCGCTACGGCCGCTCAGTGAGTCTGAAATAGTCCGGTATGCAAGTCTTCCACAGTACATCTATGTCGTGCAATGGTTCGAATGCTTAGTGCACGAAGGATGGTTTGAAAGTTTGATCGCGGGCCCCGCGCCATATCTCAGGCTTCCCCCACTGCCTAGTACTATTCGATCCTCGGTGCAACCTTTTCAATGATGCACTGGTCCCCCGCGCAATATACTCAAAACAAGCTTTGCATGAGAACTAAATCAAGTCGAGCTGTACATGAAATGCTGAATTTAGTACTCACAAGATTAGTTCTTGACGTGCGCTCATAAATCTCTTTTTCGATCCATTCCGCACGTGGTTGGACGCCGGCCATGCCACATGTTCCGAAATTGTGCAATGGGGGTATCATGCCGTTATAATTGTAGATGTCAAATTCTTAGATAATTAGTCAAAGATAACTCGAGGTGTAAAGTCTACGATAAATTGATCGCCCATGAACCTTTTGCGCGCGGCGCTTTGACTAATTTGAAAAGGCATCATATTCAACACATGTACTCAATCTAGTATACATGAGGATCGTGATGATCAATGAAGGCAACCTGGCGTATCGCGGTATTGCCGGGTTGCCAGTGTCATTATCACCAAATGTCGCCCATTGATTCAACATAAAACCATGCTGATTAGTTGAACCTGGTTGAACTTCTTGAGTGTATAGGCGGCCTGGTCTTTCTCATGTGCGTACTCATGATGCATGTTCGCTGAGTTCCCGGGTCCGACGACAGCCTATCCAGATACCGCGCTCGCGACGGCAGTGGTCCGCCTTTGCCGCTAACTTGGACCATGGTGACCTGTCATCAGAAAAGCTTTCCAACGAAAGTGCTCCGGGACCCGGTGAGTGCTTAATGGTAAGAGCTTGTACGCATTCGCCCAGGCCCGCAAACACGCAGCGAGCTCCCGAGTCCTTCTGGCAACAAATGTCTACGAGATCGTTGTAATCGACACCTAAGTCTCTGCTAAAGCTTGCTTTGCAGAAGGCTGAAAGACAAATTTTAAGTAAGTTGTTCTGTCGACTGTCGAGTGTCCACTTTTTACACCAAATAAATACTCCATGAAAGGGCTCTTTTGACTTCGAAGGTCTGGAAAATCTTAATCACAAACCTGTTCCTCGTATCAATTCAAAGTACCTGATTAAAAAGAATGATTTCATATGTGCAAGGTGCAGTGTCTAGATTTTACCCAGGCTCGTCGCCAGGGCCTTTGGGACCCCGCTTGACCCGGGCGTGCATGCCGTTTGCAACGCATCTTCTGAGCCCGCATGCTTCTCGCAGCCAGCTTGCCTACGAATCGGAAGACGATGTTCAACCCGGGTCGTCCGCCTGTTCGGGAGCTGTCCCGCCGCGCGTGATTGCGTCACTCCTGCTCGACCTGTCGGAGGTCCTCCCCGACCTGGTCGCAGCGGCACTCGTACAGGTCCCGCCCCAGCCGCCGCGCCTCCAGCTGCACCACAAAACGGAGCCAATCAACACGGTTCTGCGCCCCAACTACCCTGTCAACTAATACCCAAATGTGACCAGGGTATTCAACGGCCTCCCCACAAGTTTCAGTGATGTTGCCGGAGCACGAACACTTTCTTGCACGACTGAACATCTCTCACTCCACAGCGCCCCGATCTTGCGACTCGCCTTCCCACAGGCGTTTAAGTTGCGCCCTGCACAAGGATGAGTTTGCCTGCTTGGCATTGTCGCTCACTAAGGTCGAGGACGATCTACAAACGGAGCAAGAGAAGGGGTGTCCCAATGGCTCACGCAGACACTACCAGCGTTGCCCACTTCCTGCGGTTTGGGATTCGGTCCGACCACCGCACGAGCACATTGGGGTGCGCGCGCGCTCACTTGGTGCATGGGCGGCAGCTCGAGGTCCCACACGAGGCGCAGCGCGGCGAGGCCGCGCAGAAGTGCGTACGTGACGTCGATCTCGTGAGGGTAGAAGCCGTGCTTGGCGGAGCGCATGTAGCAGTGGTGGTTGTTGTGCCAGCCCTCCCCCAGGGTGGCCAGCGCCAGCCACGCGTTGTTGCGCGCGTCGCAGTGCGTCTGGAACTCGCACGAGTACCGCCGCCGGCCCACCAGGTGCGCCAGGCTGTTGATGCAGTACCTGCACCAGGCACGCGCGTCATGATCACGCCGCGCCACACCAGGAGGCCATGCCCGCCTGACCACTGTTCGGCGCTCTGTTTGACACCGACACTCAATGTGTCAGTCCCTACGGCAATGACGAACCTCCCGGGCATCCGGATTGCCATGCGGCCAGTGCGGCTTCACTCAGCACGTTTTCGGGCGCAGGCTAGGAATTATTCGGCAGGGATCGTCTTCCTCATTACGGTCTGCCGAAGCGGCCTCTGGTGCACGCATTGGAGGCACGCCAGAAAGAATCCACACCCGCAGCTGCACCTACGGACAGAGGTGTCCATAGGCGCAGTGCTCGCTCCTGCCAAGAGCAGCCCGTCACCGAATCCTGCGACGATATGCACTGAAGAGGGGCAGCTCTGTGCCTGATGCACACAAGCAGATTTTCCTCGTTTGAGGGTCAGGCCCCACCAGCGAGTGCGGCTTGCTTACGTGGCGTGCCAGCACAGGACGTTGCTCAGCATGAAGCCCCAGCCCACGTACGGCCACCCGCCGGCCGCATACAGAGCCACCGCCAGCAGGAAGGGGGGGATGTAGTGGTACCTGCCGGGCAAAACGTGCGTGATGCACAGGACGGGCGGGGAGAGTGGAGCAACGCAGGGAGAAGAGCTAGGAGCAACTCGTGCCGGCTTTCATTCGCTCATGGCAGGTTGTTCTCTCGGGGACATGCCAAAGTCGGAAGGCCGCCGGTCCAAAGCAACCAAAGTGGGACAATCGTGCTTCATAGGGACACAAGGACGGTGGAAGTAGGCACTATGACCCGAGTTTAACGCTGGCAAGTGAACGCTGTCATGTGCTGCCTTCCTCAGTTGCGCTGCCCCCAGCAGCCATTCTGTTCCCCGCAAGCGCTGCGGGTGGGGCCTCACTTGTCCAGCCAGCGCAGCTCCGCGCGGCGCACCAGGTCGGGCACAGCTTCCAGGCGTGCGTCCATGCTGGCAGTGCTGCACAGGAACCTGCGGGCCAAGGGAAAGGGCCAGGTCAGGGCAGCCGCAACCTGCAGAGGGGGAGACGCCAACTGGGGATAGCTTGAGTCGCTCGCTCACAGTACTACCACCAGACGTCCTGCTCTTCAGCTCTGGACCGGGTTCAAACCCAGGCCAGACATGCCAGACTGACAATTGCCACCTTGGAGGCCAAAATGGTGGCCTTGAGACGTCTATTTGGCCATCCACACATGGCTGTGGCCGGTAGTCAGGGCCATATGCTGCGGAGGAGGGCACAGTCATGGGCTGCTCACCAGCCGACGTGGGACCACCAGAAGCCGAACTGGACGGGGCTGTGAGCGTCAGCCGGAGTGTCCGCAGTCCTGCACAAAAATAGGCTAAGCATGGGCGCCATTCAAGAGCACTCTTACCCAAACAACTTCTCGCATCGGCCCACTGCGCGACTGGTTTGCTCAATGAGGGCACCTTGCGGCTCATTTGCAAGTCGTGATAAGTGACATGCTGCAGCCTCAGCCGTTGACGCTGCCGCATCTGCGCCAATTGCCTGCCCCAAGCAAGTGCGATGGTGGGGTGCATACGCACCAGCTCAGTTTGCTTGGCAGTGCAGCGGCGGGGAGATGGGGCTTACCTGTGATGGTGGCGGTGGTGGGAGCACCACCAGAGGGGGCCCTTCTGGAATGCACAGCACCCTAGCCAGGCCATCGCAAACTGGAAAGTGCGCGAGGTCTTGTAGGACCTGCAACGGAGACACACCCACCAGTACGGCAGTCAGGCCCAGTAAGACTCTGAGGGCCGGCGCTTGGGCAGTTGCAGCAGGCATGAATCTTTGTGGAGTTTGGATTCAACCTCACGGCTGGCAGAAGTATAGGCTGCCCGCACAATACACCTATGAAGTGACAGATTCTGGGTTATGATCGCACGGACTTAGCTGAAGAAAGTGCATCGATTGCCAAGAGCTCATTGCAAAGACAGCTTCTAGAACTGTCATCGAGCAGGCCCATAACTGGCGTGAATGGGAGACTCTGGATTGTTCCCCAGCTTTGTTCACCAGCGCCCCAAGTAAGACACAAAGGGTGGCTGTGTTGAAAACTCCAGAATGGGGCCCTGCGGCATGGGCTACTGGCTGCGGACCTCTAGCACCAAGTAAGTTCCAAAGTTGCGCGCTCAGGACTCTGCGGGCCTGAGCCTGATGCTGATCTGCACATGTCCTCAAATCAGGCGGTCAGCAGACCTATACACTGGTAAAGGTGTCACCTTGTGGAATAGGAGCAGTCACACAGGCAGCCTTGGAGCTAGTGCACCTTCCGGTATTCCAGACGGCTGGATCGTGCTGACCTGTGCGAGAGCAGGCGGTGGAAGCCGCCGGTGATGCCAAACATCTTGAGGACGTACACCGCGGCGCACAGGCCCACGAGGCGCCAGCTGCGCCACTGGAGCACCGCCACCAGCGCCCACACGTGGATGCCCGCATACACCTGGAAGTTGACCCCCGCCACCAGCTCCCACAACGACACCGTCCCATCGCCAAATGTCCACCGCTGATCCTTAGCGGAATCGCAGGGCACCGCTCGGCGGCTCACAATCTGATCCCAGCCATTGGCCGGCTTGATCCGTATTGCAGCAGGTTCTGTGCTGCTTGGAGCCATCCCGCCTTCTATTGAAGGAGATTCGGCAGGATGGCTCCCCCCCGGCCGCCTGTCTGCCACTGCGGCAGGAAGGCTGTTCGCACAGCAGTCGCAGGCAGCCCTCTCCCGCCCTGATTCAACCCAAGCACTCTTTGACCCAGCTGGAGCTGCCCCCTCCTGCCATGATCCCTCGTGCATTGTCCCCGCCTCGCCGCCAAGCAGCTTGCTCTCCGCATCCGGGGGCGCAACAGTATGCAGCGCCGTTTGCCGGACTGTTGCCATTGCTGAGGCCAGCGCACGGGACGCATCCCCTGCTGCAGCAGGCACCTGCTCCAGCGCTTTCACAACGGCATTGGGGTCAAGGGGTGTGACCAGAAGGAGATCCTCGAAAATACCGGCCCCGCAGGCCTGTATAGAGGAGGACGCCGCAGAATCTGGAAAGGCACTGGACTGTGCCCTGGTTTAATACAAGCTTTGCACAGATCTGCTCATAAGCTGCTTGATTAGGAGCTGGCAAACAAGAAGCTGGCCATTCCTTCAAGGTCTGATGCCGCACTTGCAAGTTTTATCCTGCTGTACCCTGGTCCGTCTGCCTTTGCCTGTACAGAAGGAGAGACTCAGATCAACGTCACGGCTTCCATTCTGCCCATCAGAATTCTCAGAGACCCATTGCCCATTTCAGCTTGAACTTGAAGAGGGAGGTGCTGTTGTTGGCGGGCCAATCAATTTAGGTAGCTCAGATTCAGAAGCTGCCTGCCTCCCTTGAGGCACGCAATACGGTACCAACTACGGTACCTCTCATCATGTGGCGGGCGCCGCCATTGCTTCGTCACGCCTCCCCCCCTGCCAAATATCCCCTTCAGCACCATCGCAGAAGCGGCGGGCAACGTCACGTATCTGCGAGAAAACGTCATCAAATACTCATGATGCATCAACTGATGAATCTCTGCGCTCCGTCGATGACCGTCGATTGACCACGTGATCCACGACGAATCCAATGATTGTTTGCCTCCAATTGTTTGGGTGGCAGTTCCGCTTGGAAAGGATCTCTGGCTTGGATCTCATCATTGACATAAACACTGACAAGTTACACAGTTCACTGTTCACAGTTTAAAGTGTTGTGCAGGGCTTTGAAAATTGAACCTGGTGACGCACCATAGCCAGAACTGTCTGCACATCACTCCATTGTGCTGCATTGCCTTGAGAGAAGGTATCAGTCTGCTTTCATGTGCGTCCCGGTCTGATACTGTGATCAGCACTACTGTTCAAGTCCAAGCGGGGTCGATCCTGTTCATCGGCGTGCCCTGAGCCGAGCCGATCTTGCAGTGGTGGTGGGCGCTCATTCGGTGGCAGTCACATTGCGCCTGTGTGATGCCACTCTGTTAGTAGAGCTTGCTGATCTCGGTCCCATTACGCATAAGCATAATGTCAGCCCAGCAGCGGATCGCGGTGGTTGGCAGTGGGGTGGCGGGCCTGGCCGCAGCGTGGGCTCTGGTGGATGCGGGGCACAGAGTGGTTCTCTATGAGAAGGACTCCCATGTCGGGGGGCACGCCTGGACGCAGACGGTGGATGGCCACGCCGTCGATGTGGGCTTCATGGTGTTCAACCGGTGAGTGCCACCTCATTGCCGTGGGGTAGCCAGAGTCCAAGCACCATCGCGATCTGGGGCAAGCCGGAGCCAGACTGTGATCGGGCTACTGCATTCTGTTTGCCCACGGGTCGAAGTACCACCACCTTGGGCTTGCAGCACAGTGGCTGCCCTGTTGATGGAAGCACGGGCTGCAGCAGCTGATGCGGGCTTGGCCAGACGCCGGTGGTTCTGCTCAAGGTGCAGACTGGGTGATGCGCGCCCTGTTTGTCTTGTGCAGCGTGACGTATCCGAACCTGGTGCGCTGGTTCGAGGAGGCTGGGGTGGAGACGGAGGTGTCGGACATGTCGTTTGCGGTGAGCCTGGACGGCGGCAAGGGCTGCGAGTGGGCCAGCACCGGGCTGGCGGGCCTCTTTGCGCAGAAGCGCAACCTGGCCAACCCGCACTTCATCCTCATGCTGCGCGAGATGCTGCTCTTCCACACCGACGTCCTGGCCTACCTCGCCCGCCTCGAGGCCGCCGACCCCGCGCTGGACCCCAATGAGACGCTGGGCGCCTTCCTGGCCGCGCGGCGCTACTCCGCCAAGTTCCGCGACTGCTATCTGGTGCCCGTGTGCGCGGCCATTTGGTCGTGCGGCGCGGAGGGCGTGCTGGGCTGCTCCGCGAGCGCCATCCTCAGCTTCCTGCGCAACCACCACATGCTGCAGGCAAGCGGGCCGGGCACACTCTTGTGGACACGGCAGGCTCTCTCGTCATCCCGTCTGCTTCTCAACACAGTGGCCTGCAGTTCAGACAGCTCTGACCATTGATGCTCCCTGACAGGCATGCCTCCTTCCTCTCCCAGATCTTTGGGCGCCCTCCCTGGCTGACGGTCACCAACCGCTCCCAGACCTATGTGGCCAAGATTGTGGCCAAGCTACAGGCTGCGGGGTCGGAGATCAGGTTAAGCACGCCCGTCACAAGCGTGGAGCGCACTACATCAGGTAAGCAGGGCTGGAGAGGCGGTTGGCCAGCATGGCGTCCTGCCATGTACGAATGGTGTGACAATCAGACCTGCTGACCGACACCAGAACTTGAGTAGACAATCCCGCCCTTCCGATCTTCGTGAGGTCCAGATCCACATACCCGCATGTCCAGGGGTATTCAGGCCCCACTTCCAGAAACCTTCCTCAAGTACAGAAGTGAGTTTCATGTAAGTGGTGGGTGCTTCCCTGCAGGAGTGGTGATCACTGATGCGGCCGGCGCAACCGCGACATTTGACCGCGTGGTGATGGCGGTGCACGCACCGGACGCTCTCACGCTGCTGGGCAAGTCCGCCAGTTCGGCGGAGCAGCACATCCTGGGGGCACACACGTACAGCCAGAGGTGGGCGCAACTTCAGGCCATCTCTGTCGGCAGGTCTCTGTGGCTCAAGCTATGACCACCCCCAAAGCTTTCTGAAATCCAGATCTGGCACAGGTTTAACGCGCCTCATAGGGCTGCTCATGCTTGTTCCTGGGTCGTGACATTCTGTTGCTGTGCGCGCAGTGACATCTATTTGCACCGCGACCCTGCGTACATGCCCCGCAACCCCGCCGCCTGGAGTGCCTGGAACTTCCTGGGCAGCCCCGCCGGGAAAGTCTCTGTCACCTACTGGCTCAACAAGCTGCAGGTCAGCCCTGCGGCACATACCAAAGAATACTGGCCATACCTGAGCCCCTGCAAACCCGGAACCTCGCCCCGTACACCTAATCTCTTCAAATTCCGTGACTCTGCTCACGTTCCTGTGCACAGTGGCATCATTGTTAAGAGCTGATGCTACCACTGTGCTGGCGTTTCTGGGATTTGACTTGAGCCAACACCTGCAAGCATGCTGTGGACACGCTAACACTCGCTGAGCATCGACTCGCGCAGAACCTGGGCGACACGGGCGCCCCCATCTTGGTGACCCTCAACCCGCAGACCCCCCCGGCCCACATCGTCTCTCAGTGGACCACCAGCCACCCCGTCCCCAGCCCTGCCGCGGCAGCCGCTTCCCGGGCTCTACCCTCCGTCCAGGGTCAGGACCGCATCTGGTTCTGCGGGGCCTACCAGGTGAGGCCAGCGGCAGCCAGGAGCCGCAAAAGAGACGGATGGTTGAAAGAGTCTGCTGCAGCCATGTGACCCTTGCTTGGAAGCTGCTCTAATGCGACTTTCTGAACTGGCCCCCTCAGCGAGCAAAGTATGCGATAAAGGCGGGATGTGCCTGAGAAAGGACATGAAGGACGTCCTTTCATTGCTCCATCTCCCACGAGCGCTGCGTGCTTGCGTGCAGGGGTACGGCTTCCACGAGGACGGCTTCAAGTCGGGCCTGGTCGCTGCCAAGAGCCTGCTGGGCGTCCCGTTCGCCCCGCTGCCGTACCCGCGCCAGATGGCGCCCTCCTGGGCCGAGTCCGTGGCCAAGGCCGCCGTGCTGGCCTTCCTCCGCCAGTTCGTGCACCTGGGAGCGCTGCGGTGAGGCACGCGGCGCGGCTGGCGACTGGGTTTTCACTGATCGGTCGTCTTGAGGGCTTCTTCAGACGGGCTGAACGTCTTGCAACTCGATGAGAAGTGCAACAGTAAGCAGGAGCTCTATATATGTCTGTTCTGCGGCCTCCTCGTGGTGCTGCCGAGAGTTTTGCTTGTAAAAGTCTGCACGAAAATGTCTCACCTTGCGTGCACGGCTTGTTGAGGCGGCGTCCCTTTGTGTGCCCCGCAGGCTGTTCGAGGACGGCGGCTCCGTGTACAGCTTCGGGCAGGCAGCGGGAGACATCAGCGCAAAGCAGGCGCGCGATGGCCGCCACTTTGTGGTTGGTCTGCGCATCCACGCGCCGGCCTTTTACTGGAAAGTGGCCACGCGCGCGGACCTGGGCATTGCGGACGCGTACGTGGACGGCGACTTCACGTGCCTCCCGGACGTCATGGACTTCCTCATGCTGCTCGTTGTCAACCGCGACCGCACGCGCCGCCCCGGCCAGGTGCGCGCCAAGAAGAGGTGAGGCGCCCAGCAACTCATTACAGCCAGATCTCACTGAAACGATGCCGTCTGCTATTTTCATTGTTTCGAAGGAGCCTCCCGCTTCAGCATCGCCGCCTCTCATCTTTCGTGTCTGGGCCCCGCCTTGTAGCTTGTGCCTGCACAAGCAAAGACAATCTTGCGGCCAATCGAGCAGCTCTTGTCGTCTGCATTGTGCGGCTGAGCACTCTCAGTGCGGCGGTGCAGGGGGTGGTGGAGCCCCGCGCTGCTGACGGCGGCGGTGGGGTCCGGGGCGTCGTACGTGCGCCACCTGACCCGCAAGAACACGCTCTCCAACGCGCGCCGCAACATTGCAGACCACTACGACCTGGTGAGCCGCGGGCGTGGTTGACCCTGCCCGAGTAGGCTGGGCCTCGGCAAGTCGGGAACCGCGGATGAGCAGAAAGGCGTTGCGTAAACGCTGCTGCTTCAGCAAGCGTCTTTGAATCCTATCGCACTTTTGAGCCGTTGGTGACATCCGCTTTCCAAGTTCCGGCTTCTGTTGGCCGCGTTGACTTCGTCGCATGTTCCCCTAAGCACCGGCCCGCTTGGCTGCAGAGCAACGCGCTCTTCTCGCTGTTCTTGGACGAGACGATGACGTACTCGTGCGCCATCTTCGCGTCCCCGCACGAGCCGCTCAAGGACGCCCAGCTGCGCAAGCTGCACGCAATGATCGACAAGGTGGGCCACCCTGCCGGGCCACGCAGCACGGCTAAGCCCTTCTCAAGCAGCACTGGCATCCTACTTCCTAGCTTCTGAGTAGCGTGGCAGCTCGGATTGTGACTTTGCGTGAGTGTAAGCAGCCGCTTTGATGGGATTGCAATAATGCGTGTGTGCAGGAGGGTCAGACCGCAGACCGAAGGCACCGACTTCGATGTCGTGTCGACAAAGTTACATTGTTGCTTTTTACATGGTGTGTGTTCGACACGCTAAGATTGGCCTCGGACGACTATCAACGGTGCGGCAGTTAACGTTGCTTCACTGGTCCGGTGCAGGCGCGCATCACGTCGTCGCACCACGTGTTGGAGATCGGGTTCGGGTGGGGCAGCATGTCGATGGAGCTGGTGCGCCGCACGGGGTGCCACGTGACGGGCATCACGCTGAGCGAGCAGCAGCTGCAGCTGGCCACTGCGCGCGTCAAGGCCGCGGGGCTGCAGGCCAAGATCTCGTTCATGCTCTGCGACTACCGCGCGCTGCCCGGCATCGGCACCTTCGACCGCATCGTCTCCTGGTGAGCAGCAGCCCCGGCGCGCACTGCTTGAGCAGCGTCAGCAGCAGCAGAGCACAGTACGACGAGGTCGACTGTCTTGCTTGGCGGATGAGCCGAGTGCTGTATCAGAGTTCGTCATCGACGACGTCAAGTCGCTTCCGCCTTGCCGAATGCGCCATGCTTGCCCCTCTTTTGAAGACATCTTGTGGCACGGACGAGCTCCCTGATCTGCGGGCGTGCTGGCACGTGGCGCTGACGTCCGCCCTTGTGTGGTGTGCAGTGAGATGCTGGAGGCGGTGGGCCACGAGTTCTACCCCGACTTCTTCCACCACTGCGACCGCCTGCTCGCGCCCGACGGCATCATGGTCGTGCAGGTAAGCCCGCCAAGCCCCACCACTGCCCGCGGTGGCCCTGTGTGCAGGAGAGGGCGCCTGCCCGATGGCTCGGACACCAAACAGGGAGCCGAAATCAATGTTCAGCACAGAAGCAATCAATACGGAGGGCTCGATAAGTGGACGTGACCCGGATTGGTTATAGGAGGATCTATTGTTTGCTTTTTGGTTCAGGTCCAGGAGCGCAGAAGAATGGAAGTAGAAAGGATGCTGGTACTATGGAACGGACAAGAAACTTGCTCTTGCTGGGGCCCGTCGGATCCAGTTGAAAGTTCCGGAAGACCCAGGGTGTAACGGTCCTCCCTGACATCAGATGCGCCAGAGGTTTGAACTGAAGAAAGGGCAGACTTTGTATCACAAGCGCTTCGGTCCGTGCTGTTTTCTTCCATTCTCGTCCACTCTTTGTCCTGGCCACGTCTGCGGCTCTTTTCCGTCTGACTGCACTCCCACTTGTGCCAGGTGATCACGACGCCGGAGGAGCGGTATGAGGAGTACCGCTGCAGCTCCGACTTCATCAAGGAGTACATCTTCCCCGGCGCCTGCTGCCCCTCCCTCACAGCACTGATGCAGGCCATGACCACCCACTCCAACCTCTGGTGAGCTGCCGCGGGGCCGATGGGACAAGTCCCCGACTTCTGATCCCTTTGAAAGCTGAAACTCCGAAGAGGCCGGAGCTTCTTGGGTGCCCTCAACGAGCACCCGTGATACTTTGGCTGCCGCTTTAGAGCTGCCCGTGCGAGGCCCGCTTTTGTCGGTGGCCCAGCCGCTGCTCGTGAAAAACTGCGGGTAACGGTGCTACGGAGGGGCGGTGATGTGGTGGGCGTGTGTGGTGTGCTTGCAGTGTGGAGGGCGTGGAGAACATCGGGGTGCACTACGTGCCGACGCTGCTGCGCTGGAGGGACACCTTCCACGAAAAGCAGAGGTGCGCGCAAGGGCTTGAGGCTGATGAAGTGATCACGTGGCTGTGCATCGCCTCGGGCGTTCTTGCCACTGCTGGGGCCTCGCCAGGTCATCAATCGTTTGCGCAGCGCGTCCTCGTTCTGGGGTGGGTGCCTCGAGTTGCCCGCCCAGGCCAGGCCGTGCCCCTCCGCTTGGCCGCCTCCGCCTATCACCGCGGTTGTAACGGCATCCGTCCTGTTTGCTGCAGCGAGATCGAGGCGATGGGGTTCGGCCCCAAGTTCGTCCGCACGTGGGACTACTACTTTGCATACTGCGCAGCCGGCTTCCAGACCCGGACCATCGGCGACCTCCAGGTACGCCACGGGCCAGCCAGCCCAAAGCAGCTCGCCGCTCCAGCAAGGAAGCTGCGGTTCAATGCCTAGCTGCTCCGCTTCACACGTGTGCTCTGAGTGCTGTGCTGCTCCCCATTTTTGCGGGGCGAGGGCAGCGGCCCCGGCCTATGCGCGCCGGGCCCCCCTACTTCTCTGCCTCTGCCGCTCGGACTTTGCTCTCTGACCTTGTGCCTACTCCTGTAGATCATCTTCTCGCGGCCGGGCAACACGAGTGGCCTGGGCGTCGTCACCAGCTTCTGACCGCAGCCAGGGCCGCGCGGCGGGGAGTGACGGATGAGCACCTCGTGAGCCGTCAGCCCATCGGTTCTTTGGTTCAAAGGTAAAGGTGATTGGAACACTCTGGACAAAACGCGCAGTGGCTCTGCCAATCCGGCCAGGGGCCGACGTGTCACGTCCAGAGTAGGTAGCACAGTATATTTCATTGAACTGCTTCTCGTTTAAATTATTGGCCAAGAGCTCCCGTACCAGTGCTTCCGTCGAAGTACACACACAGGGATAAAACGAGAATATGATGAACCTGGTGTTACTGGAGCACTTTACAGGGGGTCAGGGCGGGTTGGCAAGATACGCTGCAAGATTGTTAGCGCCCTCAGACCGCAGGTTAGTTGATCAAAATTGGCTGATGGCCTAGGTACGTCCGCTCACAGAAGACTCGCTTTCTTCCCTCTTAAGGGTTAGGATGTTGGGCGTCGCCAACATGGCAGAAGTCCAAATCGCACTGCGGCTCTCTTCCTGAGGTCTCAGTCGAGCACTGTGATGAGTCCGTGATAATTGAGTAGTTCATTCCATCGTTGCATCATATATCTGGGCATCATTTTACACGAGCAATCATGAGCGCTATATTGCACGGTACGTACATGTAGCTATATACTTCATAGAGGCAGTGCACCATACCGGCCTATTAGCTTGCCCGGGGTGTACTACGCAACGAACATCATTGCAGCTAGCTGGATATTGTGACCTCGACTGCATCATTGAAGCTAGCTAGCTGGCCAGATTGACAAAGATCGACACAAGAGGATACTCAAGCTCAGAATTGCAGGATCGACGTCATCTAGCTCTGATCTGAGGCCGGCCGTCCGCGTCCAGAACTCCACATTCGCAATTGAGTTAGCAGTGCATGGTGCAGCTGAGGGGCCCTCCACACGTACATTGACGCACTGAGTTGGGCGGTACGTAAGAGAAACTTGGTAAACGTCGAGTATTGATGCTCATGCATGGTTAGCAAAATCCATGCCATGTCAGACTTATTAGTCTGGTGCACGCACCTCAGGCTTCACCGGTAATTATGAACCATTACGGGGCCAGGATCTCCTTTTCATGCATATAGCTATTAGTTATATATTACCACATGGTTTTGTTGTGTCCGACAATTTTGCGACACAATATCTGAGATCACACAATCGGTTGAATTGATCATCGTCATCCACAACATTGCCATCGCCATGCTGCACTGCATGGCGGAGGCAACCTGAGGCCAACTTTTGAGCGATGCTCAATCCCACGCAGGGACTCATTCGTTCGCCTCAAGGAGCTCAGTAGCACATCAAGCCGCCAATGCTTGGCAGGAGCTAATATGGAAACGGTGTGCCCCAGGGAGGGAAGTTAGGAAATTCATAGAGAATGATCATGTTGAACAAAAGAAAACTCCCATTGATTCGCTCAACAAAACCAGGATAATACAAGACGTGGGGGTTGAGCGACCACGCATTGATGGTTTGCGTCTCTTTGGCAGAGCAACTACTTGATCTTCTTCTTGGGCCTCAGCTGCAACATCCAAATAACACAAGGTGTAAGCTGCTAGAAACGTTCACCAAGAAGTCACGTACCAGATGGTACACAAAAATAAAGAAAACCACGTGGCTTGCACTCAACAGAGACAATCACGAAAGGCCGCCAACCGGGTGAGGTTTTGATTCAAAGCACTGCTGATGCAAAGTTGATGCAACACTCTTCCCTAGAGGAGTCGGGATAAAAATAACTGTCAACCAAACAACTAGTTCTTTTCTGATTGATTGTGCACGAGCGCGCTAAGCTTTTGAGGCAGGCACATCATGGTTATGGGACACGCCCTCACCTGGTTGGTGTGTCCACACTTCTTCTTTCTGCAGTTTACAGCGCGGGGGTGGAGGCGGGCATAGCACCTGACATCAATATTACAGCCACTTCAGCGGAGTGCTCGAGCCCAGCAACGTAGCCAACTTAGCCCTCGCTGGGCCGATGTCAGGCACTGAACACTAGCAGGGGTTTTCGTTCTTTGACCTTACGACCCTGCTTTACTGCCTGCCTTGAGATGTGCTGCAACCCATGTGCAGCTTGCGAATCTTTCTTGTGAGGGTTGTTTGCATTGTTCCTTCCAGTAATGACCAAGCAATTAGCAGACAGAATTGCCAGGTAAAGTGAAGGAAGGAAGTTGGTGTTGGGCGCCTCATTCAACTCGTGGGCGTTGCAGGTCGTCCACGAGGCAAACTTAGGTCCCATGGAAGGACAAACAGAGCCACACTGACGTTGGAAAGCAGTGTGCAAATTGCGGCATGCATTGTGACCAGAACTCGAGGTGAGGTCTCACTTGCGGCAGATCATCTTCTCCTGGTTGTACTTCCTGGCCAGGGCCATCAGGGACGGCTCAATGATACCTCCGCGCAGGCGCAGGACCAGGTGCAGGGTGGACTCTGCACACCACAAGCAGACACGCGTCAGCCAACGGGGGGGATAAGCGCAGCTACACAACGAGGCCGGCAAGGTTTGCTACTCGTCAAGACCCCATGTAAGGTGGAACGCCCCCCCAACCAGAGCAGCGGCTCCAAAGCTTCTTCGCAGCGATTGCAGGGCGCCCTTATTGCTGCCCCTCTAGGTTCCCATCCCACAGTGCCCAACTTTCGGATGGGCAGCAAAATTGGAGGGCGGCAGTTCCAAACGCTGGCGGATCCTCTCCCTCTTGTCATAGCGTAAGAACATCTTTTGCCACACTCCCACACAGCACCAGTCCCTTCGTTGGCTGGAAGCAGCGAAGAGACCAGCCATCAACGGGCCATTCCGGACCCCAAGCACTGTTCACCAGACCACTTGTAGTACTTAGAAGGAGGTCCTCGACTGTGGAAAAGAAGTACGGCAAGGCGCAGTCCTTATGGAAAACCTGCTTGACAGAGAGTTTTCTCGACCGCAGAAGAGCGGATGGGACCGACGCATAACACCAGCTCAGCAAGGATGACAGATCAACAAAAGCAAGACTCCAGAATTTGCAGGGTGCCAGCTTATTGTCTGCTTCCTGCAATTATATATCTTTCTTGACACTGACGTCGCCAAGCAATGACACGGCCACAGTGTGCAGCTTACCCTTCTGAATATTGTAGTCCGCCAGTGTCCTCCCATCCTCAAGCTGCTTGCCCGCGAAGATGAGCCTCTGCTGATCAGGAGGGATACCTGAAACAAGGTGCCCTAGCAGGTTAGTCTACCTAACAACTGACAGCCTGCAAATGAGAGCAACAGTATTGGACACAGCGTGCCCTCCACAGACCTGCTAGTCCTGGAGGTCACTATGAACCCATGAGGGCTTGTTGCAGCCAGCAAACTCTGCAGCATAATAGCCCCAGTTTGCACATGCATTTGGGCACCCCGGCGGCTATTGCAAGCAGCAATTGTCCGGGACAACCATTACCCCCGCAGAGATACCTCGCGTCGAGCATGCTCACCCTCCTTGTCCTGAATCTTGGCCTTCACATTGTCGATGGTGTCGCTGCTCTCCACCTCGAGGGTGATAGTCTTGCCCGTCAGGGTCTTCACAAAGATCTGCATGGTGCCTGCCACCCAAGAAGGAGCCGGTTGGCGCCTGCCTCAATCAGAGACCCCGCACACCTCCTCATACATGGCAGGAGCTAAAGCAGAATCACATGCCAACGAGTCGACACCTCAGCCACAGAGCAATCCTGGCAAATAGTGGGACTGTTGTGGTAATGGTCAGGCAAACTCCACCAGGCTTGGTGTTGACGCTCACGGACATGTGACGAGACAGGGCAGCAACAGAGCTCCTTCACGCTGCAAGCTTTCAATCAGATGATACCGACGGAAAGACGGGCGCCCTCACCTCGCCAAACGGCCCCCCTGCAGACCTCGAGTAGAAAGAGGAAGGGCACCGGGTCAGGACCTTGCTTTGATTCTTGCTTGAGAATCTTGTTCCATCAGCTCGGGAAAGTCTCCCGGCTGTACCGAGGCTGGGTCGCTCTGCTACTCCTTAGTCTCAAGTCAGCCCTGCCCCCGGGATGTCGTCCCGCCCAGTCTTTCCAGCTGGCCTTGGCAAAATGGCACCGTCTGCGCGGGTCCAAGCTGAGTGCGCCAAAACTCAAATTTTCGCTGGGCCAGCCGGAGGCTCCAGCTCAGACCTGCTCAGACCAGCTACGAGAGTCAGACTCTAGATAGCAGGCCCAAGCCTCCGAGTCCAACCATGCGCCCCATGGCCGCCCCAGTCTGGGGCACATCTCTGATCTCATGAGAGTCCAAGGAGGACAGGGCCACAGTGGGAAGGACCTTGTAGCTGTGCACCAACAGCAAATGTTCACTTCGTGAAATTTATGCTTTCTTGAGGCCAGTTTGTCTCCGTCCAAGTTGGCCTCGGTCATTGCGATTTAGCAAGTGTCCTTCTTCCTGAGTTCCTGGTGGATCCAAATCATTGACAGGAACACAAAGTAATCAGCGACGCATGTGCTTTTTGAAAGTATGGCGCTCCGCAGTCTCCCAGCCTGTATCTGGGCCTAGACAGGATGGCGGGATGTTTCGTTGCAGCAGCAGAAGTTGAGTGTGGGGCTGCTGTAGCTTCAAACCCTGGTGGCCTTCCCAATATTGGCAGCGAAGCTGGAGGAGCAGGGGCGGGGCTGGACGCGCCTGAGGAGAGTAGAACGGCACAGGTTCTGCGAGGGGTGGAATTGTTTGTCAGCGACGGAAGCATTGGCACTGCTCGTGTTCCCACAGACGCTTCTAACTCAATCATAGATTTGCAGCCTGAACAAATTTTCCAATCCAGAGAAGCTCAGGCGCATGCAATTCCGTCCGGGTCCTTGCCAGAGTCTGCTGGGCAAGCCAAATGCAATCATCTGGGAGCTGGGAGCCAGTCAGACGAGGGCTGTCAGTTGTCAAAGCCTAAGCCTGGTGTACTGCCCGATACCATCCCTGTACGTCCTTGTCGTAGCAGTGCTAGAGTAAGTGAGAAGGAGAGGAGGGAGTTGGAGAATGCGGCCAGGGAGCAGAGCCAGACATTTGACCAAGACAGCAGGGAGAGTAAGGAGCGGGGACGCAAGGACAGCAAGAGTGCGCCCAAGACAAGCAAGAGCGCTGTGACTGCTCCCCAGGATGAGGCGCATCCTGTTGCGGCAGAGGGCAGGCTTGAGAAGCAGGCGGAAGAGGATGAGGGGAAAAAGCAGATGGCGATCGAGGGCGTCCTTCTGAGTGGGGACAGGAGTGATGCAGTGAAACAAGCGCCGACTGGGAAAGAAGCAGTAGGTGCAGAGAAAGAAAAGGATTTCGTCAAGGCTGGGTCTGGAGATACTGCAGGTTAGCTCCGATCTTGCTGATGTGCGGCTTCTACTTTCGGCAGGTGTTGGTGAAAGCAAAAGCGTTGTTTGATTGCTTGTGTTCTAGTAGAGGAGACTTTCTCTCCAGAACCGATTATGCTCCCCTCCTATGTACTGCCTATCAGAACGGAAACCCCTGCGGCTAGACATGTTATAAGTGAGACCCGCAACCACTCTGCTGCTTGAAGGCACATATTGATCAGGAGCTGCAGCTGCCTTCTGAGACCTGGCCATGAGGTCTAGGTGTTCAATCGGGACTCTTGTCCTTTGCCCACATCCAAGTGTTTCCTGCACCTATGTGGTACGTGATTGATCTTCGGCAAATGTCATCTTCGCTTTTCTCTTAACAGTTGAAAAGACCAAGAAAGCAGCATACTGGACGCATGAGGAAGAGGAGGCCTTTTTCAGTTCTCTGCGGCAGTGCGGCAAGGTGAGGCTGGTGTCTTGACTTGCTCATTGCGTCAACTGCAGCATGCATTCCAACTTCTCATATTCGTGACGATTTGTTCAGTTGCATCTCCGTTGACTCTCTTTGTGCCTGTGTTGTCTCTCAAGCTTCGCGTCTTGTTTCCTATTGGCTCACTTGGTGTTTTGTTGCAGAACTTTGAGAAGATCCAAGCTAAAGTAAAGAGCAAAGACAAGGAGCAGGTAGGTGCACTGTACTTTTTATGATGTCCCCCACCTGAAGGCTGGTGAAATGATATGCTTCCTACTATCGGTGCTGGAATGTTGGACCTAGTAGGTTGAAAACGTGTTTGGACAACCTTTTTGTTCTTGGAGGTGCACGAACCTGGCCATCGTTCTTTTCTGTTCACAGGTCATATTTTTGACTTGACGGGGCATGTCAGTAGGAGCTTCATTTCGAAACAAGAGCGCCCAAACAAGAGCGCTCTCAGAAGATAGCCTGTACACTTCTTGGAATCTGTTAAGCATTCGCCAGTTCTTGATTACCCCCGTTTGCTTCATTGGAAGTGACAGTTGCAAGCGGAGGCAAACAAGGCAGTCGTTCCTGTCTCACGGAACTTCCACAATGACGGTGCGTGTGCGTGGGTGCAGGTGCGGCACTACTACTACCGGTGCATCAAGCGGATGAACAAGCTGCTGCAGCCGGGCATGGTCCTGGACATCTCCAACCCGCTGGTGGTCAACACGGCCATGCTGCGCTGGTGGCAGGTGCGCGCCGACGTCAAGGGCGACATCACCGACCTGCACCGCAAGCCGCGTAAGCACAAGCAGTTCCAGACAGCCTTCGAGAAGGCCATCACCGCCGACCTGCACCGGAAGTCGAAGGCGCGCAAGAAGCAGGCGGCCAATCCCGTGCAGCCAGCAGCAGGGGCCGCGGCGGCACCTCAGGCTGAGGCCTCCAGTGGCCCGCTCCCTGGCTCCGACCCTCGGTCTGCGTCGGGGCAGCCAGGACCTCCGGCCTCTGGCAGCGGAAGCTCTATCCCGGAAGTAATGCCAAGCGGCAAACCCGACAGCAGCAAAGCACAAACAGGTCCTTTCCCCAACAATTCGGCTGCTCATCTTGGCACTGGCAAGAAGAATGAAGCAGAGGCGTTTGGTAGCAAGACTGGCGCACAACAATCGAAGTTGAAGGACACTGGGGGGAAAGTTGCAAGGGCAGGAGGCAAGGCGCGGGCGGCACCAGCGGCAGGGCAGGCCTTGATGGGCAAGAAGAAGGGGCTGCCGGGGAAGGGAATCCCGAAGGCAAAGTCTTCTTATCAGCAGAAAGGAGATGGGGCGGGGCGGCAGCAGACGGCTGGGGGAAAGAAGGCAGTCGGACCAAAGCCAGGCACCAAGCGGGGCCGGGCTGATGTCAAGGATAAAGCAGGAAAGAGCGACAGCTCAGCCAAGCGACCGAAGGGCCGGGGGAAGGGAGCGGGGGAGGTGATCAATGATGTGGGCAGCGTCTCAGAGGCAAGCCTAGCCTCCAGCAGGGGACCCGGACGGCCTCGGAAGGCCGCTGTGGAGAATGGTGGGGGCGAGCAGGCCAGCAAGGCATCTTCGTTGGACGGTCTGGCTGCAGCAGCGGCGCACCTGGAGAAGCTGGAGGCCGGACAGAGAGAAATGGCGGCGGAGAAGGGCAGGGGGCCACCTGGCACTGGGGGCTTGCCAGCAGAGGGGCACGTGGTGGGGGTCCACGCGGCCGGGGGGGATGCCAGGGCCGTGCGCGGCCAAGGGAACGCAGCGGGCAAGGACGAGGGGCAGCCAGCAGGGAAGCTCACCCTGCAGCTCTTTCCCTTTGATGCTGAGACAGAGGAGCGCGTCAAAAAGGTGGGAACCAGCTCCCCGCTCCTGGTTCTGGCAAATGTCTATGCTGCCGCTTTGAAAACCGTTCTGCTCTTCTGAGCCGTCAGCGCCTGCTGGCGTGGCATCGCTTGGTCCATTACTGCTGTGCAGCTAGCACTCGCACTCAGTCCTGCACTCAAAGACGTGCCACTCCATATCCCATTCTTGTTTTCGTAAGTGCTGTCGTGTTTGTACTTCCCTGGGCTCATGGCTGCTCTGATAAGGAGCCTAAGAGGAACCCGCACTCTGTGGTTGCAGGCCGGCTTCGTCCCCTTCATCGAGCTCACCCTCAAGAGCAAGAAGTCGCTGGCCTCCATCGCTCAGCACCTGGTCTCCAAATGGAACCTCGACCAGCCCCTCGACCTGCAGTCTGCGCCCCCTGCGTCTAGCCTGGCCGGCTGTACTCTGCGCCTCATCCCCAACATCGACCGGGGAGAGGCCCTCTCCGCGCTCAGCTGGGGAGTGACGGACAAGTCGGTGGCAGCTGCGGAAGTTTTTGCTCTGGTTGGCAAGCCGGAGATTTTCCGGCTCAAGTACCGCCTGCTCCCACCGAACTGCCCACTGCCCGTAACTGCACAGGCCCACTCCCAGGGGCCGCCCTTCGACCAGGCAGTGCCTCAGCAGCCGGGGCCCGGCCCCTGGCAGGGCCACCCGGGCCTGCCCCACAGCCCTTTGCGCCCACCTGGCCTCAACGCGGCCCAGTATGCCTCCACCGTTTCTCGAGGAGCCTGGCCCCCCTGTGGCGCCGCCGAGCAGCTGCCACACCGCACGTACCGCACAGTCTCCCCGCACCTTCAGTCGGCCAGCCCCCTTCGCGGCCCTGCTGCCGCAGATGCCGGTTCGCAGCGGGCCTTCTCCTGGGCGGCCGATGCGTCAGTCGAGGCGCTGGGTCGAGGCTGGGAGCCGCCACCGCCGCGCTACATGCCGGTCTCCAACAGTGCTCCACTGGGCAGGGGTCCTGGGGCCAACGACGGGGCTGCGTTTGGAGACAGCCTGGACCAGGCGATGTTTGGGGGCAGAGGGGGCGGAGAGCACGCCGGCATGCCCGTGGGAGGAAACGGGTGGCTGGACGACGTGGAGGGCTTCAGCATCAGCGGGTTCCTAAATGCCGACGGTTCCCGGGGGCCCGCCAGCAGCCCGTTTTTGGACGGCCACCGCTCGCGTTCCAGCCTGGGCTTGGGGAGCCCGCCCTTCTCTCCCCCACTCTGGAGCCCGGAGTCCGGCTCCCGTGCTCCTTTCCGCGCTCCTGCC